ATCCTGGGTCTCCAAATCTATGCTCTATTCTCCTCCTAAATAGTTGCAAAATTTTTCTCCTCTTCTAAAGTATTCTCTTAAGGAAAAACTCCTTAAGATGGTTTCAAGATGACTGAGTGGTAAGTGTAAACAACTAGCCCACTAGAACCCATGTGTTTTAAAGAAATAAATCAGAAAAGAAACAATGAAACCTTTGAAATCATACAGGCCAGGTTTCACATTACAGACCTTCTAACTACCAGCTCTGGAGCCTTGAATACGGTATTTAACTCTTCCCAGTTTTCATTTCATCCATGAAGTGGAAACACTAATAGCAACCATACAGAGTTGCTGTAAGGACACAGTGAGATAACCTGAGAAACTGAGGCAGGCAGTAGAGTTGAGCAAGTGCAGTACATTTTCCTAGAGCTGGAATACTGAACTTCCCAGCCTCTCTTGCAGCTAGACAGGCCCATGTGACACAGTTCTGACCAATGACACAGGAATGGAGTCTGCCATGATTTCCTCTTCTGTTTCCTCCTTCCTGCTGGGATTCCAGATCTAATGAGGCATTTCCCTAACCATCAGCTTAGGATGGTGGAGCGGAAGGCAGAAGCCTGGGAGGGGCCTGTTGGTACCATGTAGCCGGCAAATAGCACCAAATGATCTATGCTGTGATTCCTTATTGCTTGAGATAATTAAGCACCTATCTGATTTAGCCCCTATGTCAGGTTTCTCTTATAAAGCAGCCAAAAGCCAGCCTGACAACAGAACCTGGCAAATATCTGTGGCCAGCAAACATTGGTCCCCTTATTTTTCTTCCAGTTGAAAAAGTATGTGCTTTGGGAAATGATTACAGTAATACTGGTATTATAGAGTGTGATCCAAATTTCAGTAGGAGAAAAAAATTGCTGAGAGACTGAGCAATATCTAGGAGCTCAGAAAACTCTACAAGCATGTTACCATGAAGAGGGAAAGTGTGTATTTTCATTTTAACAAGGACACTCTGACAAACTACTTCCAAATGGCCTGATGGGTTTCCAGGGGGACAAGGACACTGTGGGGACAGTGGAACACAGCAGTGACCCTGTGGCCAACCTGAGAAGATGGAAATGAGTGTCCAAGTGGAACCCTCAGCCTCTGTGATTCTTCACACATGGTCTTGGGTGAGCATTCTGAAGTACATGACTAGTCTAGTTTGTGGTCCTTATAGTATGACTAGTCAGCACAAAGGGAATGGAGAGTCAACCATGTTTTTATTACAGCACAAGGAATATTTTTCAGATGATATCAGCACAGATGTGGTTTCTAACATTCCTGCTACTCCCTCCTAATTTTAAGGAAATTTATGTCTTCCTGAGCAATGTATTTTAAACCAAAGCAGACATTATCCAGTAATTCCTTCAAACACTGGACCAGGCATTCTTAAAAAGGATAGACCTAGGGTAGGATGTAGTTTGGTAGCAGTGTTTGCACAGCATGCGCTATGCCTCAGAACATCTGGGGGAAAGTTCTTGGATAGGAAGTAGAAAACGAATCCCAACTTAGGGGATGTGGAATTGTCAAAGTGAAAGCACACCACCACACTGTCCTCCCCAAACACACACACATACACACACATGTACAGACTGCATGCACATACACAAAAACATGTGCACACATGTGTCCACAGCCATACACACACACACACGCAGATGAACACATAAACACAAGCACACATACATACATGCACATAACACACATACGGGCTTGTGCACACACACGCACACACATACACTTGCATTTTAAAAAATTCCATGTGAGAGTCAAAATCAGCCCTTCATGCCTAATAATTCAAAAAATATTTCAGAAAAATACATTTCTGGAGCCACTTGAAAACAGCTGCACAAATGCCCTGCTATAGCTCACGCAAGGGCACTGCCATGGGCCATCTTAAGTGGGACCTAGACAGGGGCCCTGCACCAAACACGAGTAGGAGGAGATGAATGTCACGTTAAGTGGTGAGCATTGCACTGGCACAAAAATGAAACACTAAGTACTTCAAAGGCTCGCCAGTGCTCACAGTACTGGGATCAGCAGAAAAGGACTTCCAGAATAAGTGTCCACATGTAGTTACAAAGATAACTACAACATGTGGCAGAAGAGAATAAACTTGATAACAAAGCTGGAGGAGTTGTGGAAGGCGCAGCGAAAGTAACTCATAAAAGAACTTCAAGGTGACATCCCCAAGCACACTGCTTCCTGTGTTGCCCTCCACGTCCCCTCAGGACATGGATCCCTGAAAGGCACCTGTTGACACTTCACAGCAGCTCTCTTCTCTTTCCCTTGAGGACAGCAACAACAAAGTGATGGACAGGCAAAAGAATAATGAGAACAAAAGCTAACATATATTGGGGGACAGCAGGGAGGCACAGTGCATCATGTGAGTTGAGTGACCTGGCATTGTTTTACTGAAAGTCGGGGAAAGAAGGGACTGACAACCCGCAATGGAGCCCACTCACCTGATTACTGCTGAATATGAACGTGTTATTTTCTTCCCACAGGGAACATGAGTGAAGCACGTTAATTAACTAGCAACTTACTCGCTTGTAACAAACCAGAAACATTTTGCTAAGAAATCATGCATGAGGGCGGGAGAATTGCATCATTGTTTTCTTGTGTTGCAACTGGTTTTCTTGGATTTCTACATATTAGTCATTTCAGAATCTCAACAGAAAATACACATGTAACTTTAAAAAGAATCTATTCCCTGAATTGGTTCGGCCTTTTGTAAAGACTGTGCACACATACACAATGATGTAATGACCTTCGGTTCCTAAGAAAACTAACATTTTGCATTAATTTTCAGGGAAGGTGCCCTGGCCTTGCAACCAGCACAAAGAGACACAGAACTCGTCTGTGTCACCCTGCTGCTATAACTGACAGATAAGATGGGGGCTAGTTCCTATTTCTTTAATCATCTCTTTCCTTCAGATCTATTATTTTGTAGTATAAAGCTAAAAGTCACTTGGTATGACTAAAAGCCTTCATCTATAAAAAGCTTCTTTTGAATTTCTTTTAATCTATTTCTTACTGTTAAAAAAGATTGTTTCCTTATCTCTTCTTCATTTATAGGTAGCTAGTATCCATTTTGGGTTTTTTTTTTTTTTTTTTTTTTTTAAGACAGAATCTCACTATGTACCCCAAGCTGGCCTGGAGCTCCCAATCTTCCTGCTTCAGCCTCCCAGGGGCTGTGACTACAAGCATGAACTACCCGTGCTGGTTGGAATCAAGTTTTGTACATAGAGGATCCTGAGGACTGAGTTGCTCAAATGCTTGCCAAAGCTTGATAGCTAAAAACTGCCTCTCCTGGACTTCTGTTCAACTAGTGTTTTGGACACTAATCTTTACACTAGATGCATCTGAAGGAGGCTTAAAAGGAGGTAAAAAATTGGAACCTATTGTCTGGTCCCTGTTTAGGGGGAGGCAATTGTGGCCTTGCTAACAGCTGTAACAGGTAGAGGATACTAATCCTAGCCATCCTAGCCCCAGTTACAGCAGCAAGTTCTTGAACTCAATGATTCTAAAAGCTGCCTCTTGACTCTCGCTTCTCTATTTTTCTAAGGGTTTTTTTTTAAGTACCTAATCCCCTATTTAAAATATTTTTCTGCCTAATGTACCTAGGGAGATTTCTGTCCTTTGCCCAACTAATACAACCTCTCCATCTCAGGACATTCCACAAACCATCAGCACCAGCATTTTTATAATGCTTTGCAGAATACAAAGTGCACTGCCACTCTTTATCTGCATTGACTTTAACCACCACTCGATGAGTGGTTAAGACAGGAGCTGCTCTATCATCATTCAAAGAGCTGGGTCTCAGAAGAGGGTTAGGTGACTTATCCAAGGCATTTATTTAGTAAGACATACAGATAATTCACTTCCACATTTTATGACTCTTAGTCATTTCCCTTGACACCAGGAAGTCTCTCAAGACCAAACAAACAATGGAGAGAGAAAGCACACAAATATTGGAAATGAATTACTCCTATTTCCTATTTTAAAAATGTAAAGATCTTATCACTACACTATAAAACCATTCAATTGGATTAAACCACCTAAGGATGATTTGGTAAATACAGGCTGTTTCACAGAGGCCCTGACTTTGGATCTGGAAGAACCCATGCCTCAGATTTACAGGGTTCCTCCTTCAAGGACTTGCTAGTTCTTTATTAATGGAGATACATGAAAGGTCAGCCTCACTTTCCAACTCTGACCATGAATCCTCTTTCTGTGCAAACATCTGTCCAAACCATGAGTGGTCAGAAGACTTGGGAAGAAGAGATTCATTTTTCAATTTCTCTCTAATGGTAATTTCACGTAAGTTCTTCCCTCTCACCTAAAATAGGGTTCCCTAGAATAAAGATTTATTTGCTCTTTCCCCCCTTGCTGTCTATGTATAATCTAGTAAAACATTTTATTTCAATGTCAGGAAACCAAGATAAAAAGCATTAAGTAAGCAAAGTTTGATTTTGACTACATCAAAAGTGGCCAAACTGAATTCTTTCTCTCTACTCCTCTACCTCATAGCAATAAACTAACCACAGGGTTAACATTCAAGAGTTCTGAGAAGCAAATGTTAACCATATGGTCCCCATTCCCTGAGAGCAACATCAGCCCTAAGAAAACATTCCAGTATCACAAATCCTCACCATCATTCCAAAGTGAACATCAAAACCCTAGAATCCCACAATTTCCTGGCCATTCTCTACTTGCTTCCTTCACTTTCAGGAGACTCAAACCTAAAGAGCTAGGAAGGCTGTAACTACAATATGCTGCTTCCTCATAGTATCTCACCTCCATCCTTGCACTGAAACTTCATGCAATCTACACTGAAGAGTGACAAATATAAGGAGAAATATTTAAAGTTAAGATAGAAGAAGATGGAAAAAAGGTTGAATGGGTTAGGCAAAAAATATCCCTTTCTTATGACATCAAGAAATACAAGAAATTTATCAAAATGCAACAAACTCTATACGAACCTGGGGGAAGAGAGAATATGTTGAATTGTCAATGGTGAATGAGTATAAAAACTCTCCATCATACCACATGCTCTTCCCCATGGGGGAATTCATTTTAGTCATAGCAAAGAGATGGGTGGGGTCACAGCAGTCTTCCATTTGTTTCCTAGGAGAGAAAACAGAGAAAGAGAAAAGAGCAGTGGGTTAAGTGAACAGCAGACTCATTCATCTGTCATTCCCACAGAGATGTGCAGCCCACCTCGGTGCCAACTCACAGAGGCATCATGTCTCCACAGTGATTAGACTACTATTAATTTTAATTCACTCTTCCAGTCATCAAAATGCATGACTGGAATATTTCATAATAAAAAAAGTTTAAGAAAAACACACTAGGTCTCAGGTACATCTAAAATATGTCTAAAGGCAAAAAATAATCATTATTATTGCAGAGTTTTTGACTTATTCAACCATCCAAGTCCAGAAAAGACTTGGAGAGAGAGCTTTGGAGCATATGTGTTGAGCTATTCAGGTGCAGCACCAATCAGCACTAATCAGGTGTATCCTGATTTAACTATCAAGTGACTAGGTTCAGAAAGGGAGGACTTTACATAAGCTGTACGGAGCAGAGTGGCCCAAAAGTGAATGCACTCTCCCAAAACAGGGACAATATTACAGAATAACTTCTCAGAACACCCCCCACCCCATGAATAAAAACAGAATGACGTAGTGCTGTGATCTCAGACTGCCTTTCTTATTGTCAAACCTCATGGGCCTTTCCAGTTCTCATTTTGTCTGGTCTTAGTAGTGTTTGACACAGTTGAGCACTGTGACATTTGCAATGGCTTCACCTCACGTCCCTTGGGTTTGAAATATCAGCCTCTCCAGGGCCACCTCACCCTCACCCTAAGAGGGGTTGCCTCTCAGGCAACTATGCCTACCCCTCGAGTACAGACCACGTTACTACTCTATGGGGCCATGTAATCAACAGGTTCTGTCTACTCATTGAGCCCGCATGGGGGAAAGCGCTTACTCCCCACTTCTACCTCTAGAAAGACAAAACCAATTTCCGACATAAACCATGTGATGGTTGATCTTGATACTTTGATTGCGTTGAGAAGCTCCTAGGAGATTAGTAAGGTACACCTCTGGATGTGTCTATGAGGACATTTTTAGAAAAGATTAACTAAGGCTGGAGGAAGACTGATGGGAGCAGCACCATCCTATAGCCCCCATGGGGCCTGGAATAAAAGGGGGAAAAGGAGAACTCAGGCATTCTCTCTCTCTTTTCTTTTTTTGCCTCCCCTTTCTCCCTCCCTCCTTCTCCTCTTCCTCCTCTCCTCTCCTCTTCTCACCTCTCCTCTCTTCTTCTCACCTCTCCTCTCCTCTCCTCTCTCTCTCTCCCTGTCACTTTCCTGACTGCTCCACCAGGATATCAGAACTAAAACCTCTGAAGCCATGAGCCAAAATAAATCCTCCTTAACCTTTTCTCTTGGGTATTTGTCATCACAACAGAAAGTCTAACAAACATAAGCCATTTCTGAGTGGTGTCCCCACACACAGACATCTTCAGTCATCCCTGGTACCAAAGCTTGGAGCTGGAAGGGGATGATAGAGTGAAACGCCTGGCTACACATCCTGGCTTTCCCTCTTACTAACGCCATTCCTGGGAAAGTTGCTAGGCTGTAGAACCAGAACCAGAGACATTTTTGGAGAAACCATACCAACGTTCAGATACAGCATATGATAAAAGCTCAATGCACGTTAGGTGCTGTGTTTGAATGTTCCCTCCAAAACTCAATACTGAGCTTAATTGCCAGGGCAACAGTTGGCAGTTAGGGCAGAGACAGAATGAGAAAGCCCCGATGCCTCTATCATGTGTTCCATCTTTAATAAGAAGGAGGCTCTTGCACCTTATTCATCGTAAGACAGCCCTGTTTCCATCACCTGCTTCCTTCAGCACTTGCAAAGGGACTGGCCCACAGCCAGTGCAAGCTCAGAATGCAGGGCTCTGACCATCCTTGGGGTGGTGCTAATGAGCACTTCCACAAATCTGGCACAGCTGGTGCTAGTGCACCTGCAAGAGCCTTCTGTCACACTACATCAGCTTCCTGGAGAGCAGTCCAGGGCCCAATCCTGTGTGCTGACTACCTTTTCCTGGAGCAAAAGCCCAGTAAAACCTCATCCAGATGGAATTCCTTACCCATTCAATTTTCCTACCTTGAATTGAGCAAAAGACCCCAAGGCTGAGCCAGAAACACTCAAGATTGGTAACGAGGCCTTGTCATGAGGTCCTGCTCTCCTGATGGATTAAGGGCACTGTAACAGAACAGGTTACTGTAAGAGTGAGTTTGGCCTTCCCCATGTTAGGAAATAGCAGGGAAGCCCACACCAGATGCCTGCCCCCTGAGAGTGGACTTCTAGCCTCCGGGACTGAAATTATTTTCCCTAGCAAAGAAACTTCTTTATAAATGACCAGTCCGCCATATTCTGTTGTAGTGGTAGAAAACAGACTAAGATATGAGGTCTTGTCATGATGATCACGAATTTGATGTGAATACATGTAATCAGCGAGGCTGCAGGTTACAGGCCTGGCACCAGTTTGGCACAGGCTCTTCCCACCGCACCAGACTTCTTCTTGGGTTTTGGGAACATGGTTGGTTTCTCCCTTACAGAAGTGTCAGTGGGAAGAAGGACAGGGGAGGGCTCAGGAAGAAAGACTTCATCTGTCCAATTTGCCAGAATTCATGTCCCACACGTCATCCCATCTCTCATCGACTGCTCTTCTCTTGCCTTTCTCTCTACTTTCTTCAATGTTTATTGGTGTTTCTCCACAGAGAAAGTGCCCAATTTTATTGTGAATTATCCACATTTTGACAAAATAAATCCTAGGCACCATGTTCACTCCACATGAGACACTGGACATGGTGTTAAAAACAAAAATTAACACAGATGTGATTCTAAACTTTGGGAAAAATAACTAGAATTTTGGTTTCCTGTTACAGGTCTGGTGCTACCTTACTTTCTTTGGTCCTTACAGCAACCATAGAAGAAGGTTATGGGAATTATTTTTATTGTTAGTCTCGTCTCCAATTCTCATCCAGGGAAACAGCCTCCCCTGGCTTCAGAACAGGAAGATGGTAGAGCCAGGTCTGTGAGTCCAGTCTGGACTTGCTTCTCCCTGTCTGCTTAGAGCTATTCTGATTCGCCTTGACCTTTCTCTACCCTGGAATGTACCACAAAAACAGGAGCCAAACATCCGCCATGCACCAGGTGCCTTCATAATATGTTTCCACATAAATTGCACAGTAACCATGCTGCTGCACAGCTTTAGGGTTCTTTTGCAATAATTAATCTCTGGTCACATAACCAGTAAAGTGACAGTCATAGCTTTGCTCCCAGGTCTTTTACCTCATGTCAGTTACTTACTTTCACCCAGGCTGTCATTCTCACCTCCAGACCAAGCTAAACTTGCTATTCAGTACAAAATGCTACAGAAAATTCAGAAGAAAACCTTGTCACAGTCACATAATAGCACCATGCTTTGCCTGACTCCTACAGTTTACAAGTCACTTCCACATTTGTCTCCTCTCTGCAACCTCAAGAAAACCTAAGAAGAAGGTAGAGACGGTTGGACTACTCTGAATTTATGGACAGTGAAACAAATGCTCAGGTCATCACCCTGGCTCAAGTGCATTAGGTTAACAGATGTTATTTTTTTCCATTTCATTTTTGAAGCGAGGTCTTGCTATGTAGGTTAGACTGGCTTACAATGCACAATTCTCCTGCCTCAGCCACCATATGTGTCAATGAATCTTTTGCTAATTATTAAGAAAATGTGAACTTGAGCTCACATCTCTTCCCACGGCATCGCTTTGCTCAGGGCAATCATTCCTTCACCCAGTGAAAGCAACTTCTGGACAGAAAATAAGTGTTACACATGGAAAAATAGTTTCAGAAATCTGACATTTGCAGCAAATTCTTAATGATCATATTAGAAATACCATTTTTTTCCTATCATAAACTTTCAAACATTTTTCTCAATCCAAAATGTCTTCCCGTCTTCCTTGTCATGCTGATGTATGGAGGGTGACTGGAACAGAGACCCTATCTGAAAATGTGCACATATATTCCTCATGCCTGAGAATAACCACTAACTTGGTGGTTTTTCTGGTCCCAGCAGTGGCACTGGGACAACAGAAGTAGTGGTAGTTGTGGGAGAGGCAAATTGCTGAGTTTTATTGAGTTCTTACCTATCATTGTACTAGGGGCTTGAGATATGAAAATGGACAAAAAAAACCAGACTACCTTCAGAGAACATAATTCTGAAGACATACAAAAGCAAAAATAAATAAATAGTGGGACGACATCAAGCTTGAAAGCCCTGCACCATGAAGGCAACTTTTCTCAGGAAACTGAGAAAAATGTATGTGCAAACCATGTATTTTATAAGTGATGAATATCAAAATGTTATAAAGAACTTACAATTCAATAGTAGGAAAACCAATAATCTCATTAAAAACTTGGCAAAGAATCTGAACAAACATTTCTCCAAAAAAGCCATAAAAATGGCCAAAAGATACCTGAAAAATGTTCAATAACACGCACTCATCGTCAGGGAAATGCAAAAGCATGTGAGATGTCATCTCACACCTGTGAGGATGGCCATCACCAAAAAGCAAGAGATCACACATGTGAGGTGTAGAGAAAAGGAAGCCCTTGTAGACTGTTGATGGAAATGCAAATTGGTGTGCAGCCATTGTGGAAAACAGTATGAAGTTTCCTAAAGACTTCAGGGAAAGAACCACCATGTAACACAGCAGTCCTTCTTCAGCATATACACCACTTCACAAAGATATCCTACACTCACTGCAGCAGTATGCACAATAGCTATGATATGGAAACAGCCAAAGTGCCTGTCAATGGATGGATGGGTGAATAAAGAAATGACATATATTCCACCTTCAAAAAGAAAAAGTCAGGCTGGCGGAGTGGTTCAAGTCATGGAGCACTTGCCTAGCAAGCATGAGGCCCTGAGTTCAAGACCCAGTATCACAAAAATAGAAAAAAAAAACTTGCTTATTTGCTGCATTCATAGGCAAACATGTTAAGTGAAATAAGCCAGACCCAGAAAGACAAATACTGCATTATCTCATTGATAAGTCTTTC